TGCCTAGCTTCTACGAGTAGGCGCCATCACGACTCCCGAGGGTGGGAAATCCGGATCGTGACACATCTGAACATGTTGGTACCTCTGTTATCGCACCGGCAAATCTGCCTACAGTGCATCTTTCCAGAAGGTCCTCTAATGGATCAATGCTTCTCTGGTTTTAATTCTGTTCTCCTCCTCCTGTACATGACTAAGCTTGGGCTCTTTAGAAAGCCACCTGATCTTCTTTACAGCATCAGCGCATGTGCTCTGCTAGTTAGGGAAATGGGCTCTGATGGGGGAGAATTGCACCCCTTTGATCACCTGAAGAGATTTTTAGCAGAATTGTCATACTTTTTAACCTGAAGATTGAGCCATCTTTTTTTTTTTTGATGACCGAGAAATCCGTCTGGGGCCGATCCTTTGGACCAACCGCAGCTTTCGAAACTCGGTGGATAATGGGCCCGCCCCTCTACCCTTTTCCACTTAAATACCAGGCTTTGCTTTGCATGGTGTGGAGGGCTTGAACCTGTGACCTAAGACACAAATCCACCACCCTTTGCCACCTGGCCCTGGGGCCAAGATTGAGCCATCTTTATCCATGAATTTTTAATTTTGTTGGCCAGTTCGTCCCATCTGCCATCACTTGTAACTTCTGGAAGTATGAGAAATGATCTTCTCGATCCTTGTAATGCTACAGTACTGAAAAACCTCCCATATTTGTTAAACTTCTGGGAGCAGAAATATACATATGCTAGTTTCCTTGAACTTCCCTGAGTACATTGCCATGGCCTACCAAAGCCAAATGGCAGAACCAGAGGATCACCTTTCGGCTAACATTCATTCTGCTCATTGAATTTATCCTGTGCCCACCCGCTTGTACCAAATTTCTGACTTGGACTGGCTCCACGTGATGTCATAAGACTAGTGACCTGCAATGAACCGTTAATGAATTAAATATTACCCAATCACTTGAGTTGAATGATGAATAAAAAACAAAGGCTTCGGTTGAGTTTGAATTAGAGAGAATGTCGAGTTACCTTTCTCTCTCTAGCCTATATACTTTACTTGCGAACCTCCTTGAATCGATACAACTTTATGCCCTTGAATACAGTGAAACTGAAACCATTTTTCTATGTAGATACCTTCTAATTTGTATGAAATTTTATGCCAAATGGTTAGGCTATCAATCCTCTGGAGCTTGCAATGGAAGCACTCAAAGAAATTCAGTCCCGCTTCTATCGAGATTTCCCTGCCCATCCTAAAGAGCAAGTTTATGAATTTGCTACACCATCGACGATGAAACCAACTCAGTGGTTTTGTAAGTTCTCAAGTCTTTGTAGGATGAACTTGAAAATGTTGGGCATATTTTCTCCAGCTGCTTGTATGTGCTAAATTATTTGCTCTACAGATCCTGGGGGAGGAATCAACCAAATTCCTGCTGAGTGCACTGTTTCTGGAGATGTTAGGTAAGTTTCTTCGTCACGGCCTCCTTTAGATCTTTCATCGATGATGATATTTAACCATATCTATTTCTTTGCAGATTGACTCCATTTTACAGGTATGTATTTTGCTCTCTATTATTCCTTTTCAGTTCTTGATAAAGAAGATTAACTTGTTAAGAAATATCATAGTGGTCTCATACCTTATTACACTTTTTTTCCTGCTTTTTACTTGTTTTTATCTGCAATTTTAGTTATATCTCATTTCTATGAGTTTTTTGTTCAATTTCTGCAAAATTAAGAACTTTTCAGCTTGTATTTCGAAAAAAGAAATGAACAGACGAATCTTTCGAAAGTAGTAGGATTTTTAATAATGCACCCTTATTCAGTGTATCAGATGCTATGAAGAAATTACAAGAATATGTTGATGATATAAATGCCAACATTGACAAACTTGATTGTCGAGGCCCTGTTTCAAAATATGTCCTGCCAGATGAGAACTTAAGGGGCAGGTATGTTATACGCTTCTTTGACAAGATGGGAAATCATATGATTACTTGGAGTTGTCCATAAAAGCTAGAGCTCAAGTAATTACTTCCTTAGTTTATCTTATCAGTTTTTCTTTCTTTTAATTGTTCGTTAGCAATTAATGTTCCGCATTAATCCACCAGAATCACTATAAGTTTTGACGAAGCTTCGTCTGGAGTTGCTTGTGATCTCAATTCTCGGGGCTTTCATGTGCTATGCAAAGCTACTGAAGAGGAAGTTGGGCATGTAAAACCATATTCTATAACTGGTACTTTGCCATTGATAAGAGATCTGCAGGTGGATTACTTCTTTCAGATTTACTTATTTGGCCATCTAGAAACTCGAATTTTCAGTATCTTATTCATTGTTTGTGTGGCAGGATGAAGGTTTTGATGTTCAAACTTCTGGCTACGGTACAATTTCCATTTTTATAGTTTCATCATTCTTCTTTCCCGTTGTTAGACATATTCTGAACCAATAAGACATTACTATCAGGACTGAGTAGGTTTCTAGATATACAATGAAGATGTTACTTGCAACCATCAATTTGAACGCAAGCTTTGGTGACCAATCCTTCGATCAGTTTCTGTTCGGAAGCACACTTTCGATTGGGTATTAGTTGGTGCTAACAAGCTTGAGGAGTAAATGTTCTATGGTTATAATCTAGGAGTGCAGAAATTGACTGAACTGAATGCCTAAATAGGCAGGAGATGGGTGCATTTTAACATATTCCTAATCCCATTCGGCTGGTCTGACCTTCTCTTCACCCTTTTTTGTCATTAGATATAATAATATCATGTAATCTGGTAATGCATCCATCATACGATTGTTAATCAGAGTTACCCTTCCCTCAAAAGAGAGAAGTTCCCAAAATTGTTTGTTCCACCTTGATAGCTTTTTAAAATTTGCACCACCCTTTGCCATATCCCTTCAGATGTAGATTTAGTTCCTGATGGATTATCCAAATATATGCTTGGTATATAATATTATTGACCGGAAAGATGTGACTTCTTACCATATTCTTATAGACTGGATATAGATTCAAAAATTTCCCTCCAATGCTTTATCTATTCTCAATTCTGCATCACAAAGAATCAAGGTATTGTCAGATGTCAGCACATAGAATCAATCTATCATTAGCTTAAGAATGTGAACTTTGCACATCATTTCCAACCCATGCTCCAATTCATTTATGGAGCTCTGTGCAGTCTATTGCTAAGACGCTTCATTTGACTATTGGAATATGTATCATTTCTTTACCAGAGTAGTTTGGATATGTTTATATTGATATCTGTAACATAATTTCTTACTTTGACACAATCGTGGGTGGATCTAGAGCAAAGGTTACGGGTTCTCGTGAACCCAGTAACTTTTGCATAGACCCTGTATTTGTACTAAAAAATTCATTAAAAGTATAAGAATATTTAGCTTGGAACCCAGTTCGTTGGTCCAGTTATCATGTAGATTAACTTGAGATTGTTATAGGAACTCATAAACTTAAAATTTTGGATCCGCCTCTGGACACAATTGCATTTCTTAAATGTACTGTTTGATTGTTGTTCTTGTTAATTGAGTCTAATAAACTTTTGTTCTAATCTGAACCTTTTGAAATGAATGACATGCAGGCTTAATGGCTACATACCATGCAAAGAATGAATATTGTCTACTGTCAGATATGTGCCAAGGTTACCGCGTCTTTGCAAGTGTCATCTCACAGCTGGAAGATAGATATGAGGTTTGACTACGTCATAATTCAGAGAATGGTTGACAAGAATAAGGTTTGATATAATACATGAAAAGTAGCTCTCACCGATGACTTGTGCTATAGTACTGCTGGTTCTATGTTGAATCTTGACTAATCTTTCTAAGTACTAGAGATGAAATTTAACTTGTATTTGAGTTCAATTTTAGATTCTTAAAAGTAAATCCTGAGCATTTGTTTGACTTTTGTGGCATCAGCGTCATACTATAGCCATGGAGGTTGGAGAATTGCTTTAGGTATGATGTAATTGATTGATAAACAGTACATCACAGCCTATTATACATTATAGGATGTCCATGAATCTGGCTTTAAACTGATGTGAATGAGTCGGAAGAATGTTTCTTCTTGATTATAGGTTGCATCATAAAGGATCTCTAGCAAATACGGGATCTATATATGCTGCTTGACAAAAAGTTAATTATGAAATGATACCAAAGCAAGGAGGCAAAGACTTGTTTAAAAAACTAACGCATGGAGGGAAATTACGTTCTCATAGACAAAGGTTAGAATTACAATATGATGGGGGTAATTATATTTCCTACCCTACAGTATACAAAGTGATTAGGCTTGCATAAACGTTAATCTTCTATGACACGCAAGATTTATACAGTACCATATATCTGCCCATAGTATGCTACGTAATCCATGCAAACAGGCTAACTGTTTGAATATAGGTGGGCACTCTTCACAAGTTTCTTGAATTATCGGCATCCTGCTTGAGTTGTTTAATTCTCTAATGTAGTCTTTGCCGATGTTCATGGATCTTCTCAAGTCCTTGTTCCAAAATGACTGCTGAGTATTATCCCCTGTGATTATTGGTGCAAGATAGGGGTGGCAAATGGGCGGGTTGGGTTGAATTTGAGCGAGTCAAGATGGGTTAAGTTAATAAATAGGTCATTGCCCAACCTAACCCAAAGTGTACTTGGGTTAAGATGGGCTAAACAATGGGTTATAGTCCAATCCGCCCAACTTGATCCATGTTGTAGAAGGGGCATTTGCATATATACCCGTTTTTTGGGTCACGTTTTAATTTGTGCCCGTTTTGCAAAAAATTGCAAGCGTACCCATTTTTTGCGTAACTTCAGCATACGGGGCTGAAGTAGCAAAGGCAATCACGCAAAACTTCAGCATTTTGTTTTTATAATTGGCGAACTTCAGCTCTAGAGTTGAAGTTTTTGTTTTGTAACTGGCGAACTTCAGAGAGCTGAAATTTTTGTTTCTGTAACTGGCGAACTTCCGCTCTAGAGCCGAAGTTTTATTTTGTAATTGGCGAACTTCAGCTCTAGAGCTAAAGTTTTTCTGATTTGCTCTTGTCTCACACACATGAAAATAGAAGATAATGAAACAAGTTAGCATCCGAGCAGAAGATAATGAAACAAGTAGGCAGTATTCAGAAACACACTCTTTCTATACGAGCCAAAGAACTGGGCACCAATATCAGTTGAATAAACTTCTTGAGTTATTAGTTGACTTAAGACTTAGAGACGTTTGCTTCTAGTTCTGGACCCCAACGAGGCTGCCCACTTGTTGACAAATCACTCACGTCAGAGTTAGTCAACCTTTCTATCTTTTCGAGTCTTTGTTTAATGAGTAAATGTTTATATCGAATTGTTATTGTCTTCAATATGTTGCTTCCTTATCAATTTTCTTTTGATATTTATGTGATAAAACTACAGACTAGTCACTTGATTTCTTACCATAAACAGAACTGACAACCAAGTCAAAACTTCATGTTGATTTCTTACCATAAACAGAACTGACAACCAAGTCAAAACTTCATGTTGATTTCTTACCATAAACAGAACTGACAACCAAGTCAAAACTTCATGTTGAAACATTCTATTAATCACGAAGGAGAAGGAGGAGGAGAAAGGGGGCTGAAGTTGTTTAAAAAGTGGGTACAAGTTAAAAGTTTTTAAAAAATGGGTATAGGTTAAATGGGGGTGACCAAATAGGGCGTTCCCGTACAATTTTTACGTTTTAAAACCATGCTCATCTTGCATAAACAAAGCTTTTTACCTTTTATACACTCATGTATAAAAGATAAATAAATACTATTAATATTTTGAGGATCAAAATATATTTTCTTAAATAACAAATTAGTATTTAAAATGTGTAAGTTGAAAAATATTTTACGAGGCCGGGGAGTTGGGGTGGTTGAGTGGTGCAGAAAAACGAAAAAACAATAAATAGAAAATCGAAAATATAAAAAAAAAATTGAGAGGGTTTGCGGGGGGTTTGTTTGGGATGGGTGGGTGGTGCAGAAAACAAAAATACAGAAAATTGAAAATACAAAAAAAAAAGTAATATTTTTTTTGAGGGGGTTTGTGGTGTTGGTTTGGGTGGGTGGGTGGTGCAGAAAAACGAAAAAATAGAAGATTGAAAATACAAAAAAAAAGAAGGTAAAATTGGGGCAACTATGTAAATTTCTAGATAAATTGTGTTGAGATCCCTTTGTTTTGGGTGAGATTTATATGTTGTATTTGGGCTACTTCATGGGTCAGAATGGACTTAAAAAATAATGGGTTAAATTGGGTTCAACCCAAATAGAGTCATTAGCTAAAATATTTGTATCACAACCCGTTAATCTCTGGACATGTTGGGCGGGTTGGATGAGTTTGAGCTCAAATTACCACCCATAATGCAAGATATGTTGTTTGTCTGTTGCATCCGCATGTGTGGATGAGTGGGGATTAGCTTTTAACAGACATTTCAAGATAATCCAATCAAAAAAATACATGGTAACATCCGCATTACCCAGATCCAATTCAAACACTAAGGTAAATGAGCTACTATTGCTTCTAGTTATTACACCGCAAGTTTTCGTACGTGAAAGTATGTCATAAGTAAATTGATGAAAGCTCGGGAATGAGATGTTACATCCCGTATTTTTGGACGTTAAGGTTTCGTCGTAAAGTTAATTGACGCAAGTTCAGGAATGAGATTATTTTGAGGTTACAAGTATTACGCTATTTCAAACAAGGGATAAGTAAATTCGTGAAGGTGAGAGGGTAAGCAAATCGAAGAAAATGAGTTTCGTCGAAGCTTGATAATTTGGGATAAAATACGGTCCGAGCTATGATACCCGGTATTTATGGACTAGTGCTATACAAGGTACTACATGACTATGATAGTAAAGTGTATTAAAAAAATGAGCAACATTTTATGATAATTCTTAATTATATGAATAATTGGTTAATTATTGGACTAGTGAGGATTAATAAATTGATTAAGGACTTAAGAGGATGATTTTGGATAAGTCTTATAACCACTTACGTGGCGGCCATATAAGAGCCACTAGGTGACTCTTACTTAAATGTGCAAGATGATAAAATTTAAAGAGTTAGGCACATCACCTCATTTGGTTAAAGAAAGTCATCAAGTAATGCCAAGAAATGTTATGGCCAATCATTCCTTGCTTAAAGTAAGAAAATGTTTCATTCCAATTTCACAATATTATGATCAAATTCAAAGGAATGATTCAGCAACTTATTCAAAATATTGGCAACAGGATTTTTACGATTCTAAGGGAATACGATGTAATCTTTCTCAAGAATATCATATAGATTTTTTCCTACTTCGATCCACCGTTATGTGAGTTGTCGCAAAAGACATGTGTTGGAAGGATTGTCAAGAGAATCGGCTAAGGTATGTTAAGGCTATACCTTCTTTCCTTTTGGCATGATCCATACGATACAAACGAAACGAGCAAATGCACAACTTCCATAAATGACTTTATTCATAGAAATACTAGAGATGCCTATGTTCTTGATTCTCTATGTGTCCTATTATTCTATCATCTGTTAATGGGTCTCAAAAAATACGTAAGTTGATAAAGTTTACTTCATGATATAAATCAAAGGTATAATGGTCTTATGACACGCCAAAAGATTTTGTTGACGTACTTCTCATGCATTGCATTCATTTATACATGTACATTGACCCATGACCAGATGACGTTATATAAGTGTATATAGGTATATTATATGCATATGGGATATGGAAAAATGTTACGACGTTATATAGGCACCACCACCTGATCAGCTGGTATGCGTTGATGATTTTGCCCACAGTGGCCGAGATGATATGATGGGATGCCTTAGAGGCTTGAGGATGTTATGAACACATGTACATATGCACGACATGACATTCATACGCATATGCATAATACTATAAGTATTTCATGATTTACAGAGTTATCCAAACTTACAGGTTGAGTCATTTACTCTATATTTCTTCCATGTCTTTTATGTACTTATTTATGTGCCTTACATACTAGGTACATTATTCATACTAACGTCTCTTTTGCCTTAGGACGCTGCGTTTCATGCCTGTAGGTCCCGATAGACAGGTCAAGAGTCCTCCAAGTAGGCTATCAGCTCTGCGAAAGATGTTGGTGCGCTCCATTTACTCTGGAGTTGCTTGTTTGGTCAGTATAATTTAGACGCGTATTGTTTGGTATGGCGGGGCCCTGTCCCGACCCTTATATTAAGTGTGTACTCTTAGAGCTTGTAGACAGATGTCATGTATACGAATGCTTGTATGACTTTGCCTATGTTTTGAGTTTACAAATGTTCATGTTGGCCTTATAGGCCCGTATATTAGATGTATAAGTTTTTATATCAAGTTGGGTCGTCCTATATTGAGTATTACTCTATGTTTATTCTGGTTAGCCCATGACGGCCCGTTTGGCCCATTTGCCAATGAAAGTATAATAAGAAAGATATGTTATGTTGGTACTCAGTTAAGTAAGGTACCGGGTGCTCGTTGCGACCCATAGGTTTGGGTCGTGACAATAGTGGTATCAGAGCAGTTCTGTCCTAGGGAGTCTACAAGCCGTGTCTAGTGGAGTCTTGTTTATGGGTGTGTCGTGCACCACACTTATAAGCAGGAGGCTACAGAGCATTTAGGGCTTTCACTCTTTCTTCTTACTCTAGATCGTGTGGTAGAGCTCAGTTGTAAGAACTCAATTTCCTAAAATATCTTATTCGTAATACAACGATGCCTACATTTAGAAAGATGATCGGTAAGAGATATAACTGTGGAAATGTTGAGTTAGAGGAACTCGATTTTGCATCATGCTTATGATGAGTAAATGTGAGATCTTCAGCAGACCATGCATGTACTAAAAGGTGTAAGGTTCTTGATAAGGAGATTTAAGGCAATAATACTTATCCACTCTTACGGTAAAAAGGAATAACATAATCGGAAGGAAGACACAAGTTTCAGCAAGTAAAAGAAGCAAGGTAAATAAGGGTATGAGATACCCAGTTAATAAAGATTATCATTATTTACCATTCAGGAAGGGAGATATAAG